AGAGAATCACTTAACTATAACACATCTTTAAGCAGACAAATACACATATAATTGGAGTCTGAAGAGCAGAGAAAGGGGTTTAGAGACCAGAAAAATATTTGGTCAGAATTTTTTCAAATTTGATGTAAACTATAAAGCCACAAATCCAAGACGCTATACAAAAGCCAAGTATATGAAAAATGAAGAAAACTACACCAAGGCATCTCTAATCAAATATCTGAACACAATCTGAGCAAGGGAAATTTTCAGTTAAATAATTTCATAAAGAAAAAATCTTAAAAGCAGCCAGAGAAAAGATACACTACCAGAGAGGAAAGATAAAAATTACAGCAGATGTTTCCTTAAAAATAATATAAATGAGAAAACAGTGGAGCCACATCTTTAAAGTGCTGAAAGGGAAGAAAAAAACAACTGTCAACCTAGAATATATACCCATAAAAGAAAAACTTGATAACCTAGACTTAAAAATTTTAAACTTCCTCTCTTTGAAAGACAGTGTTAAGAGAATTGTAAAACAAGGGAGACTAGATTTGTAAAACAAAAAATTTGCAAATCGTGTACCTGATAAAGAACTTATATGTAGAATCTATAAAGATCTCAATACTCAATAGTAAAAAAAAATCAAGAACTAAATTTAAACATGAACAAAAAGTTTGAAAGTTCATTTCAGAGAAGATAATACACACATGAGAAAATGGTCAACATCTTTAGTCCTTAGAGACATGCAAATTAAAAGCACAATGAAATATCACTCTCTAAGTATCAGAATAGATAAAATTTAAAGGACTGACCATGCCAAGTGTTGGTAAGGATGGGGAGAACTGAAATTCTCATATACTGCTGGTGGGAATGTAAAATGGTACAATCAAGTTGGAAAACAACTGGGCAGTTTCTTAAAAAGTTAAATATATACCTATTATATGATCCGGCCTTTCTACTCCTAGGTATTTATCCAAGAAAAATGAAAGCAGAGATTTATACACAAATGTTCTTAACACTTATCTGTAAAAGCCCCAAACTGGAAACCCAAACTTCTATCTTTAGTTCAAAGGATAAACAAATTGTGGTATATTCATATAATAATGGAATATTATTCAGCAATAAAAAGCAATAATTGGTACATACAATAATAAACATCAAGAGAATTATGCTGAGTTAAAGCTAGACCAAAAAAAGACTACATACTATATGATTCCATTTATATAAAAGAAATACATGGTAACTAATATATAGTGAAAGAAAGTAGATTAGTGGTTCTCTAGGGAAAGTTTGGTGGTGAGGACAATTTCAAAGGGGCATAAGGAAATTTTTGGAAATGATGGATATTTCATCGTTTTGATTTTGATGATGATTTCGTAAGTATATGTACATGTCAAAATATATCAAATTGCACATTTTAATATGTGCAGTGTATTATATGTCAGTTGTAATTTAATAAAGCTGTTTAAACATATTAAGAAGGGTAGGGAAATAGAGTGAGGCAATGGAGAGTGTTACTATTTTAAATAAACAGTGAAGGACTCCTGATATATGATATGTTGATATATCAGAGCAGAGATTTGAAGTGAGGAAGTAAGCATTGTAGGTACCAAGAGAAAAATTTCAAGAAGAGGGAGCAGAAGGTACTGAGGTAGAAACATGCTTGCACTCATGACAATGTGACTGAAACACAGTGAATGAAGGCATGAGTAGCTGGGATATAAATACAGAGATGAGGTGGTGGGGTAGAAGGTAGGGCCACAAACCACGTAAGGCCATTACAGGGTCTCGCTTTTACTATGAGTGAGATTAAGTCACCACAGGGTTTTATGCAGAGGGGTAGCATAATCTGCCCAATGTTTTTAAAAGATTACTCTGGGTCCTATGTGAAGCATACCCTGTAGAGGACCCAGAATGAAAACAAGAAGACCAGGAAGGAAGATACTACTGTACTAATCCAAGTGAATGACAGCTGTGACTATGACTTGGGTAAGAGCAGGAGGTTGTGAAAAATAGCTAGATACTGAATATAATTTTAAAGGAAGAGATGATATTTGCTGTGTGCTGAGATGTTTGATTTGCAAAAAAGAGGGGAGTCAAGGATGACTCAAGTTTTTAACCTGAGGAATTAGAAGAATTGAGATGCTATTTACTGAGATGGAAAAGAATGGTAGAGAAACAGCCCCTTAACAAGGCTTTCTCTCTGAATTTCCCCACTCTTTTAATTCATACTGCACACTGCTATAAGATTCATCTGTCCTGACCACTATTATAATTACATTACTGTTGAGTTTAAGAATCTGTTTTGGTTTTCCATTTCCTTAACCATCTTGAAGAGGTGAGCTACTTTCCCTGAAATGAAGAGAACAGGTGTTTGACTTGGGGGCTACAGGTAAGATGAAATGCAAAACTAATGTGGAGACCACTGATTCTAAAATAGCTAAAATAGTCCCCTCCTCAGTTTTTTTCTAATGAGGAAGCAGATGTGGCTCACAATTACCCAAACATCATGGGTCTTTATCTACAGTATAGTCTGAAATTCCTAAGAATGTTAAGGGGTGGAATAATTATAACAATTAAAGTATGGTTGACACTTGAAAAATAAAGGGTTTAGAGACGCTGACCTGCTCAGTTGAAAATCTTTATGTAACTACAGTTGGCCCTCCACACAGGCAGATTACCAACCATGGAGTTCGAGACAGGTTTGAACTATATAGGTCATCTGAACTACAATCAGTTGAAAAAAATCTACATATAAGTGGACTTGCACAGTTCAAATCGTGTTGTTCGAGTCAACTGTGTATCATACACCATGTTTATCAAGTCCTGTATATGGCTTTTAAGAATCCTCCTAATCTAACACCAATTTCTCTCTCTAGTCTTGCCTCTTCTTCCTCATGTTTCTGCTTTATTGAACCATATATGTCAACAGTAGTCCTTCGTGAATGCACTTCTTTCTGACTAGAAAACTCTTCCTCCTCTATGTCTAACTGGCTAATAAGTACACACCCTCAGCCCTCATACTTATCTAATATTTCTCAAGGAACACTTTTCTCTATATCTGGGTTAGGAGCCCCTTCCACAAAAAATCTTGTCTTTTCCTCATCTAAGTAGTCCAAGTCACACTATATTATGTTGCCTACTCATGTATCTGAACCCCATCTAGACTTACGTTCACAAAGGCAGAGTCCATGTCAATCTTAGTTCCCAGCATATCCCAATCTGAGGTACCTGGCATATAAATGTTGCTCAAGAAACATTTACTTAATGATGTTAACTATAGGGGATTTAGAAATACGCCGATTTAGAAAATGGTCAGTTTATGCCACAATATGCCGAAGTTGAGGAAAACGGCAAAACACCCAAAGAGAGATGTTCTGTACACAGGTAAAAAAAAAATGGAGCTGAAGTTGGGTTGAGAAGGGTGAGCTAAGGATACTAAAAATATAAGACAGGGTAAATATAGAGACTAAGAATGACACTGAGCCAAAAATTGATATTTGAGTAAAAGAAAGATAAGCATGAAGGAATCACTAGAAATTAAGAGAAACGAAATAGCATAGTAACAGAGAAGCTAAAGAAAATCATGAAAATAAGAACATGTGTTAAATACTAAAGTAAATTCAAGACAGTCAGTTGTTCCATGAGTTATAGGAACCATGCCTGTTTTACTTATCTAGGACCTTATACAGTGTCCAGTACACACAGAAAATAATAGTTGTTCAACAGGAAATAAATGACCCAAATCTCACTTTTTGAAAAGTTAACTTATGGATTAGAATGAGCCTAAATGTTATCTTCTCAAGAACCTTGCCCTTAAATACTTGCCCTTAAATAATCACTAGCCAAGACTTAAATTACTGTTAAAATTTAGATAAATCTTCTGCCTAATCTTTTTAGTTCCAGTGTATTTTAAAATATTAGTCAACTGTCCTTACCTTTTTAGTTTAAGTCTCTTATATCTCTTTATCTTTATCACTTAAATAGGAAGTGTCAGTACAAAGGAGTTAAAAGCTTGAGAACACTGATACAAAACTTGTTCATGCCTCGATTTCTAATTAGCACTGCAAATGAGCTGTTCTTCAAACCAGATCATGTACACTGGCCCTGGAACCCTAACTTACAAAACAATAACCTACTTTAGGTAGCTTAAGTGGTGAACAGACCAGATTATCCTCACCAGAAAAATCATTAGACAAACCTGAAACCAATCTAAAGAAATTGCCAACATAAATCATTTCATTACAGAGTATGTATGAGAAGATTCATAAAATAATGACTGCAGCACAGAATATTAAGTCTGAAACATTTACTGCTGAAAACAAGGAACTTAAATAAACCCTAGGTTCAAGAAAATACAGTTGTCTTAGGATGAGATACACCTGTACATATTTGAAGATAGAAGGAAAGATAACAGGTAAGATTATTAAGACCTGAGATAACAAATGTGTGTATGGAAGGAGGCAACAGAGATAAGAAGTAAGTATGAATTTAAAAAGAAAGGATATCACGGAGGTGAAGAAAGTGTAGTGGACATCTTGAAGTAAAGAAGAGAGCTAATAAGAGCACTGACACAGATGGACTCCAAATCTCAATGGGTCAGTCAATGCAATCTTCAGCAATAAATATGAGGGAGATCAAAGAAATTAGGGGCTTTAGAACAGGGAATGATGTTTGAAATAGCTAAGAGAAGTATGCCTGGAGGTAAAGAAGAAGGAGAGAGGGAGAGGGAGCAAGTGGGGAGTGGGTAGAGGGGAGGAAAAAGAGAGAATATAAAATATGAATGAATTACTAGGAATGAATGCTGGTGCCTAGAGATAAGGCATGTTTTACATATTATAGCAATTATGATCCACTGTGCTAGCACTCTATGAAAAAGATTTAAAATAGTTTTTGTTGTTGTCATCTCATGTATTTATGAACAGAAGGCGGGAAAAATGAGCCTTCAAGTGAAAAATATTTAACCTAATTAAGAATAAACAAACAATAGGGGTGATCACGCAGTTGGCCAAATAACTTACCTGGTCATATCCATAAGGCCTCTGCTGTGGTGGCTGTGGTGGTCCAGGCTGTGTGGGTCTATACCCCCCATACTGCTGACCTTGTCCCTGTGGGTAGTTAGAATACTGAGGACCTGGACCACCTTGTGAAGGACCTGCAAAATAATTAACATAAACAAGAGCCCAGCTGAAAACCTAAAACCCTAGAACCCTAGAAAAAAATTAAAACTAGATGTTATATTTTTATATCTAAACTAAAACGGATAGTTTGGTATCTTGTTTTTCTCAAATGCTTTTAAAAATAAATTCCAAAGGTTATAATGAGTAAAAATATTGTAAGGATACCACCATGTGCCAGAAGCTTTGATTCAGTGTAAGTATTGTGTAATGTATTAGCCATTAAAATTTTTATGTCCAGATGAGTAAAAGAGACTCGGCTTAATTTCATATTAAGAAAATTCATCTCTACTTCTATTGTTAACTAGTATAAGCAAGAGGTAAAAGAAAAGGCACGAAGCAGATTCAAATTAAAATACTGAAGCAATTTCTGAATAAAGTTTCGAAATCAATGATATTTACAGCTGTATGTAGATTTATACTTGCAATCACCAAAAGAATCAAAAAGAATGATTTTACATGTAAATTCTAGATTTATATTTGCAATCACCAAAAGAATGCTTTATGCTCTGCATTGACAAACTTATTATCACAATATTTTCAAACAGAAACTGAAGATTTAAAAAGCCAAGGTTGCATGTGAAAAAATTTGATTCAAAAGTTACATTCTGTATACCAATCATCTTTAATACTTAACCTATAAAAATGAATTATTTCAAATATCAGAAATGTCAAGAGACTAATTTGCCTTGCCAAATAAATATGTCTGTTTCACAAACTCTACTATTGTCTATTATAATGCACGTTTTAGAAAGCATAAGCTGAAAAACTTTGATATTTGTTTTTTATCACAGCCATTCAAAACCTGTCATAAAAAATGTTAATTGCAGAAAAATGCCAAAAAAAATTTTCCAGCTTAAATAAATTACATTAACCTATTATTTTATTTAATTACTATAGATTCAATTATTAAAACTAAATTTTCTATTAGAAGAAAGTTTGATAACTGAAGTCTATGGATAAACAAAATCGGAACTTCTCCCTTATGATTTCTAATATCTAACAAAACAATGTTTAGCTACTTAAACCAAAAATATTTAACTTTTTTATTCTCTCTTCCTACTGAAAACAGTATTTCTCTTAAATCAATAAGTTTAGTTAATTTAGCAATATATTTGTTTCCATGCAAATATAGTAAAACCAAAATACTCTATTCAAAGTACAAATATTCAGTAGTCATTAAATGGAAATATAATTTGAGAAGAAAGTCTCTTTCTAAAAACAAGAAATCCATGGACTATTTCTAAAGTCATCTGGAATTGGGAAAGTAGGACTTATCATTTTGGAGAAAATGCCTGACTCCCAATATCTGACTGAATTTCAAAGCACATATTGAAGGCACAAAAGAATTTTTAGCCTGATACTGGTTCTTAGATTTGTTATCACAAGTAGAGAGAAGTGCCACAGTAATAGCAGAGCTTAAATCAATGAATAAAAGTAATAAGACATTACTCATGTGTGGAAGAAACCATGTTAACAAGAGATGATGTCAAATTAATAAACAGCTACTTCTCTTTCATTAAAATCATATTTTCCTACATCTAAAGTAGTTATAGTAGCCTGAAATTTAAGATTGAGATATCAGGTCCTTGATTCCCCACTCCTTATGAAATAGTTATTTGAAGTCAGCTATCCAGCTAGCAGATATTAAAGTGAGTATATAGCAGGAAAATGTGGCTAAAATTCTCTCAAATTCTGTAAGGATACATAGCTGTAATAAATATACTCCTGTGGATGTGTATGTTGTTATTTAACTACAGAATGAAAAAAAACATTTTCTTTATGCATTCCGAACAGACAACATTTGTACTTTAAAAATCAATGTTATTTTTCACAGTAAGAGTCATTAGTTTTAAAAACAAATTTGCTAAGCGGATTATGTAGATATGGTTAATAATCACCCAATTCATCAGTTTTCCAAGTGCACACAAAACTACTGGCTGGTCATGAATACAAAATAGGTTTAAGAATTCATGTTTCTTGTCTTTGATATGACTACATGGCCTATCTTTAATCAGTGAACCATCTACAGTTTGTTTCTTTTTAAATGGATTAACAGTTTACCTAAGAACATTTTAAATAAACACTAATAATAGACTAAGCTAAAATTGTGACTTTTCAAAAATGATAAAGATACGCTTCCATATTTAGAAACACTAATCACCACGTTTTGGGGAGACAAAAATAAACCGCAGTAAGGTATTACCGTAGCCCTGCTGCTGTCCGGGATAGCCTTGCTGCCCTGGGTACTGCTGCTGCTGGGGTGGATATCCCTGTTGAGGAGGTGGTCCTTGGTAAGCATCTTGCTGTTGGCCATACTGTGAATTTCCTATAGGATAGTTGGAGAAAAGGGGGAAAAAAACCCTGAGAAGTTTGCTTAATTAATCTTTTTCTCTAAGATGCATAGCTAACAACACAAGAACAAAATAATATGCCATATTGATTTTTTTAAAAGTTAACAAAACAAGGAAAAAACTCAAACCAAACAGAAGGATTTCGGCCAAACAAACTGCAGTTAAAGCCAATTTTGCAAGGTTGAACTGCAGCATTTTCAGCGTCTCTGCCATACGAGCATTACATTTACTGGAACATCACAGTCATAAGATCATGACTATGCTAAATAAAATAAAAAAGACAAAATTAAAGACAGCTACAAGAGCACACACTAGCTACACAAGATCAGCAAGCTGTTTCCTAAAGGCGCTATACTTATATGTGAAATTATACATATGTAAACACACACAAGAAAAAAAACTGGATCAATGGATTTAGGTTCAAATAGAAAATTTCCACTGAGGAAAAAATTATTTTTAAATGTTTTAGTCTTTTTATTGTTGTTAGAAATGGCAAGTCATGGTTATACATTTTAAATATTTGTAAGGAAATTATTTTGATTGTTCTGGACTCCCTGTAATTTCAAGACAGCCAGCAAACTATTATTCTACAAGAGCTTTGCACGGGTAGAAGTTGTCTTATGCAAGAATTTTTGTTCCTGTAGGAGGGGATATATATGTGTATGTGTGTGAAGGTATATAGATACCTCCTTCGTAGTAATGTTGTGAGGAATCCTCATAAGGCCTATCGTAGCCTTGTTCAGGATACGACGGTTGCTGATAACCGTAATCATTATGACCTACATCAATTCGACAAGAGACAGGAAGAAACGTTAATGGCCACTGAGTGAAAACCCTAAATATATTTAAACTTTCAGATAAAACTGAAAAAAAAGAAAAAGAAATGGAAATACATAAAAAATAATTTCAATTGCATTAGCCAAATATTTACCAAAGTGATTGTTTTCACATCGAGATAACGTGCAAATTTTTTTAAAAGCAAAAAACAGTAGTTTTAGAAACATTACACTTTGTCTTAACTCTGATAATCCTCATCGAGGGGGAAAGAAAACTTTATCTTCCATTTTTTTTAAGAGAATGAACGTATTTAGGCCTTTCACATGTAAATAACTTGAATTAAATTAGAATGAACAAAGGAAACAATTATCATATTTTGTTAAACACCTGTTCTGTTGGTCGCCAATTCCACAGCATATGCTAAACAATGTAAAATATAAAAGAGCTCCATAAGTTTAAAAACTGAAACATATTTTTCACATTCTATTTACTTGAATAAAATATATGTATCTTGAAGTATTTTCAGAACCAAAAACATAATGCTTAATGCTGTCATCCTAGAAGCCTTTAGAAACTATTTCTAGAGTAATACAAACATACACGTCCATAAAATTAAGTGTTAAGCTTTAAGATACGATAAATTTCACCTGTGAGTTGACTGAACTTGAATGAAAATCAGTACTCTAGTCTTTTTAATTAAATTGCACAAAGAAAATGCAAGAAATAACCTTTCAGTTAGCTAAAATCTGAACCTCGTTTTAGAAGAATGCCTAATTAAGGAAGGAGGAATACTGTTATGATTAATTCCAGTGTTTCCAAACCATTTCATAAGTATCTACATTAATGGTTGGCAAACTATGGCCTGCAGTCTAAATATGGCCAGTGACCTGTTTTTGAAAAAAGTTTTACTGGAACATAGTCATGCCCACTCATATTTTCGATATCTGTTTTCATGCTACAACAAGAGTTTGTTAGTTGAGACCAAGACTAGATGGCACACACAGACTAACATATTTACTCTCTGGCCCTTTACAGAAAAAAGTTTGCCAACTCCTAATCTACATATTTACTGGCATAAATATCTAAATGTAATAAGAAAATATCCAATGCAGTCTAAGAAAATTAATTATTGTTATAAATAGAATACGTAAATGTCAAAAAAATTCTGATACACATCTATGCAAAAATTATACCATTTAAATTTTTAAATCCCCTGATATAATAAGATGAATTATTTATAGTAACTTTAGAGTTCTGATATTTACAAAAATAATATATCTATTTTGAATAGAAAGATCCTATTTACAACAATACAAATTTTACATTTCAGGAAATTCTCAGGACCAAAATATCAGTGTCAAATTCAACTAAATTACTTAAAATGTATTTTAAAAATTAAACCAATCATTTCTTTTCAGCAGACTTCTAATACATAACATTTAACCTAGATTTCACTTTTATAAAATATCTGTAGTCTATAAACTTACTGAAGTTTTTCATTAAAAAAAAATCTTAATATCTACATGGGACAAGAAAACTTGAGATTAAAAAAAAAGTTGTTTTCCAACCAGAATTATCCATACACGTCATCGCTATCACTAATATTTATTGTATGAAAAAATTTTTTAAGTGTTTGCTCTGCCTCTATAGGCAGAGCCTCTGTAATAAAACCAATGTCCTTATACCGATGTACCTTTATGCTTTATACAATAATGAAAAATGGCAGGCAAAATGATTTTTAAATACACCAAACTACATGTTCTTACTAGCTTACATTAACTTCTAGTCAACAGTCCCAATACCTTAGCTTTAAATTCTTAGATTCCCCAAGTTTCTCTGTTAAATAGTTTACCTTAAATATAGAAAAAGAGCTTAACTACATAAATGAAGACTGGCAAATCCTTTCATAACAAGACAAATCATTTTGTAATGTGATAACTAATCAGTTTTATAAGTTTGGATTCTTTTTTCTTCACCATTGTATAATAAATTTTTCAAACATACAGAAAAACTGAAAAGAAATGAACTGTACAGTGAAAGCTTCCATGGATGCTTAGATTGTTACTAAGTGCAGCATATTTTCGCTGACCACTTTTTCACAAGCCACTTTCCTACTAAAAAAAATATGCCATTACACTAAATACCTAAAATTAAAATCTGGTTTCCAAATACCATTCCTATTCTACTGACTCTATACACAACTATATTACGGATAAATTTAGCGTCCAAACCTTTCCCAAATGCAAATGCTAATATATACAAATCCTAGTTCTTTCAGAAGTATGAAACATTAACTAAAATGACGAAACATGGGGGAAAAACTCAAGAAATTCTATGTATTTATACAATGCATAAAAGTAAACCGATAGGTGAACTTTATGGTATGCGAATTATCTCTTTATATAAAGCTGTTATTTAAAAACATAAATCGGTAACAATGGCTTTGGTTCAAATGAACAATTCCAAATATAAAAGGATCCTCTTTTATATAAGAAAGGATTCCAGTGACAGAACATGACTCCTGATGGTACTAACATGGAATATCTAAACAAAATATACTTTGAAATCAATATTATAAACTAATGGTATCATTGGTGCTTTAGATTACTGAAGTGTTCTAAATTTAGAAGAAACTATTAGTTTCTTCATCCACATTAAAATGTTCTGAATAGCTATCTACATTAATATTGGGCAGGGATAGAAAATGGGAAAGTTAACATTAGGAGAGATTACCATCAGGGTAATACTGCTGGTTCATGCCTTCTGGAGGACCTTGTCCACCATGACTGTATTGGTCCCCATAATAGTCTTCCTGGCCTGAGTACTGCTGTGGTGGGCCTGAAAAACCACAATCAGTCAAGATGTAAACAATTTGTTCTCTAGGTCATCAAAGGCTTTCTAATCTGATGTTATAAGAGATTATTTCTCAGCTGTAGATTTCCCTCCCATGCTCTGGCATTTCGTATACTTTCAACTATTCTTCTACACACATACATAAACACACAGCCAACACCAAACGCACATTTCACAAAAGTTAATGTTAAGATCACACATGCAATATCAAATATCAACTCAAAAAAACAAAAACTAACTTCTTAAAAAGTAGGTCAAATTGGTAGAAAATTAATTTCCTTTTTATTTTTATATTTGAATAGTATGAAATTAGGGTTTGTTTCTGATCATATATTTAGTACTGTCTCAAAAATAAAACAGTATTTTCTGCTGTAAATTAGCTTTTGATATAAAATTTTATGATGTAACTTTTTTCCAGAAAAAAGCTGTATACCAGGAAGCTCCTATCCAATTTGTGACCCTCTGTATCTACTATATCCACTATCTTTTAGGAAAAAAATATATACATAATTTAAGAGAAAAAAAAAATCAAGAACAAAAAGCCCTGACTTTGCCGAGATAAACAGTTCATTAAAATGTAGTAAAGGCTTTCAACTACTGTTATTTATAATAAGCAGGAAATTTTCCAAATGGAATCTTACCCTGTTGAGGTGGTCTATAGGGAGGAATCTGTCTCTGACCCATCATATGATTGCCTTGGTTAACTTGACCCATCATTCCCATAGGTGGCTGCTGGCCTTGGTAATGCTGCCCACCTCCTTGTGGCATATTGTATTGTTGAGAAGGAGGCTGCTGATGCATCATTGGACCTGAAAACAGACAAAACATTATGCACATGATTTTTTTATTATAATTTTAACATCTAAGGAGAAATATAGAATTTTTTATCACATAATCCCCAATATATGTTATAATAAAAATTGACTTCAAGTAATAAAAACAAATCTTTGAATTAAAGTCCATAGGCCTAATCTGAAAACAAGGGAAAACAACTGATCCATGGTAGTTGATTTGAAATCCACTCAAGTGATATTCTAGTAATTTTTTTTAAAAAAAGGGAATACAGTATATGACCATCCTGAATTTATGTACTTCTCATTATGTGCTATATAATATTTATCTGTACAACCTTTCTAGAAAAGACAGAATCCTTATGCTACACACAAAAAATACACCAAAACAAAGTAAATTACACAAAACCACACAGAAAATCAGTAGTCAAACCAAGAAAAAGAAATCTAATTTCTGGATATCGATTTTTTCTCTTTTTCAATGTCACTCATTACATAATGGTAGATACAGAAATTATACAAACGTTTATAAATATACCTAGACATTGATGGGACTTCATAAACTTTTATTTTAGACAAAAATTTTAAAGAGCCCCAACTTAAGGTTAATAATAATTTCTAACATACACCATCAAAAACACGTAGGCAAAGAACTGCAATAAGCCATACACTCAGAAATCAGAACCACACATTTTCCAAAGTGAGCAATACTGAAATAGCCAAATTACCACTGCTATAGTACCACACTGGAACAGTAAAAATATACCACATAAAATAATCAACAATGGCCATAAAGTTCTATGTTACCATCTAATAATGTAAGCAGCTCCTCAAAAATTCACTGGGCCAAGTTACGGTATGGGGAACTAACTCCTCATTCTACTGTTATAACCATTACTCTCTCAGAAGTATATATGAATCATCCTCCAGTTTACTGCTTACATAGCTTTTACTGCCTTTGGGACAATTTAAGAAGTACAAAAGGCAAAGGATTAGAGCTTAGAAAAGTTTTACAGGCCAAATTGCCCAAATGAGCAGAAAGCTCATTCTTTAATTATTTAAATAAAAATTCAAAACAAAACACACTCACCTCTTGATATTAATGACCTACAATAGCAGCAAGAGTGTAAACGGAATTCAATTCTTCTTGAATTTGAAGAACTGTATTATCTATAGAAGTACTTTATCAGAGTTAACTTTTTCTCCTATTCACTTTCTTCTGTTTTATTTTTTCAAATTCCCTTTCCTTCTTAATTTTATCAACAATATAAGCCTTTCAAGGTTACTCTGGGATTTTTCTTTCAAACAAGAAAAAAAAACTGTTAACAGGAGGGATAAGGTGGCTCAGTGGAGAATGGAAGGGAAGAAAAGTTAACATTAATACACTTAACACTGCCAGACACACTTTCAATATTTATTTCATGTAAACCATTAAAAACTACCACAGCTAATTTTTAAGGTTTTAGCCAAGTAATCCAAAGATCAAAATCATATAGCTAATATGTATTAGCTGAGAATCAGACAAAACTCAATTCTGATTTCAAAGCACATGTATATTCTAGTAGGCACTGCCTCTACTTATGCTATAAGAAATTTAGTAGTTCAGAGGCAAATCTACAACAAAAATGTTCCAGAACACTAATGTAAGGTTACAATTTTTAAAATGTATTTTTATATAATAAAGTATTGAACACTAGCATTCATAATTTAATAAGCAGTATGATCAGGCATCTATGATTCATTTACAGTAAATGAAGGTGTCTTTCTTCTATACTGATTAAAGACCTCTTGTCTTAATAGAATTTAACTATAAAACTAAAGCATGTATGCATTGGAATCATAATTAAAAATAAAGGAAGAAGAAAGCAAAAACATAATGGCTCGTGCAGGGGGTGAGGAGGGAGAGCAGGATCCAAAAGGGTACAATAACAACAAAATTCTAAGCTTTGCTCTAAAGGAGAAAAGTACTTCTAGCTGAAGCCCTAGATAGAAAAGATCATGCCACTTGTGCTCTTTATCTTTTGGGACTGCCAGCAGTTCCAATCCCAAAGAGCTCAATTACCACCCTTCCTTTATTCTCTGTCCCTTCTCTCCCTCTGAGGATCCTCAACATCATTCAGGATCAAGCCTAAAACCACAGAGAATGGAGAAGGACAGCAGTGCTAGAACACAATGCTTTTAATCTTTTTACACGAAGCCTTATCTATGAAAAAAAAACTATGACTTCAATTCTGATTGTTTAGGAAGCATATTATTTCTCTTATGATAATGAAATATACTATGCTGGCAAATGTATATTATCCCTTGATATACTAATGAAAATAAGAGAGCAAAATCTTAAAAGGTTACATCAAAATAAGTTGTAAAAATCTGTACTTTAGAGTGAGGATTACAAATAAGTCTATTATTATAACCATTTTCTACAAACAATAACATCACACATTACTATACGCTTAAATGTTATTCTTCATCTAATACATAAATCATTTTGATGCTAAGGTGAACTACAAAGTGTGATATTACATATGCAAAGATACTACTAATATCTTAATTATCTACAATATTTTTGTAAAAGTGTTTAGAAAAGACATATAACAAATGTTATGACCTCATTAGTTCTTTCCATTTTGAGTTTTATACCCTGATATTCTGCGGAAACAATATCCTATATCTTAAACACATGTAAAATATTCTCAAATCACCATATTTTATATTGCTGGAATTCTTTGTTCCAATGAGACATATTATATTTAGTTGTATATTAAGTTACTGGTCAAAGCAAGAATTTTTTAAGACTCAACGATAAAGATAACATTAAGTTTTAATTAATCTGTGAAGAATTCAGAATTATGTTTTTTTTAATTCTACATACATATATATATATACATATATGCATATATATCCACACTTTCAGATGTAAACCAATACATCAAAACTATAAATCATATTACTAATCTATGAATTACTTTAAATAAAGGTTGAAAATGACAGTTAATGGTTAATAAGCACTAATTATGGCCAGTCTTACTAAGCTAAGAGATTATGTCTTTTATCCTCCCCTGAATCCTATGAAACAAGAGTATTATTATCAACTTCACTTTATAGTAAGAAAATTTAAGGCTTGGCATCAAGAATATTACCTAAAGTTGCGTAACTAGTAAATGGTGAGAACTCTAAAGCCATACTCTTAACCAGGATGTATGCCTCCTCTCCAAAGTCAAATCGTATTTTTCCCATGTAATATTCTAGGAAAACACTTCTATATAACATTATTACTATAAAATAAAAATCTTAAAATACAAGTAATTTTTTCACTCCACCTGTATCTGTTAGAATTAGACTATGAAACTGCATAAATACCCTCCCTAAGCCTATCATCTTCTGCTCACATTTACTATGGTTATTCCTTAACCATTCAATTTCAAAGTAAACCACTTACAGCTCTCACTTGAAGTATTACTAATAATTTTTTTGTAAGAAAAAAAATCTCTGTATTCCAGCAAACTCAATTGGCTAGCCCACTACCTATCAAATAGCTGTTTAAGATGAATAGGACTCTTTACTTGCCAAAAACATATAACTATCCTCATCAAATTTTAAAGAGTTCATAGTAAGATGTTTAGATACAAAACCAAGGATAAAAGAATGAGCCAAGTCACTAAGAAAACTATAGAAGCTTAGTATAAGTCACTAGGACAAACTAAGCTGAGTTTCCAAACAATCAATGAAAAAATAGAAGCCTGACAAATTTTCGATAGTAAGAGTAACAGTTTATTATAATACAAACTTTTTTATAACATGAAAGTTTTAGAGAAATTCTCATGAATATTAAAAAGTATTAAAATATAATAATATAACTTTTTGTTACTGTCCTTTTTTTCTTTAGTGACACGGACCATCCTTAAATGTAGTTCCTTAAGTTAACCATTTCCTAAAACTGTGGTTTTTCAACTGTGGGCAGTCCCCCAAAGGACATGTAGCGAAGTCTGGAGACACTTTTAGTTGCTACAACTGGCTACTGCCACCTAGCAGGTACAGGACAGAAATACTGCTAAATATTTCACTATGCATGGGACAAGCTCCATGACAAAGAATTCAGTTCAAAATGGCAATAGTGCTGAGTTAAGAAATCCTGTAACTCAAGGGTATAATTTTACATCATAGGCATCTCTACAAACTAGTCTGGAATATAGATTATATATTTAGTTTTCTGATAATTAAAAATTGGAAAAGAGATGTGTTGGGGTTTAATGAATTTAGTAAAATAAAAGACTATACAATTTCTTAGGGTTAGACAACTTCTCTTACAGAGTTTCAATTATACTCTATAATATTAACTCAAAATCAAAGGCACTAGTAAACATCTACTGCAGAACTTCAAAAGCTCTACGTTTTTGTGGCACAAGAGACAATCTGCTGTGAAAGTAAAGATCCTATCTTGCTCAAGGAGAAAGCATTGAAGGTGGGCTACATTAGAATGTATAGCCTGGTGTCATTCGGCATGAAAGCTGAGAAGTTTTGAACCACCTGACACAGAGATTATCCAGCCCAGAAAAATTCGGAGGGAATGGACTATAAATAAGCATAACTTGGAATATTCGTTAAAATGTAATTTATACAATTTACTCCTAGAGATTCTGGTTTAACAAGCATAGGATGGGGCACACAAATCCTATTTTAACAAGTTCTGCAGATGATTCTGAGCCTGGTACTCCTAGAACCACGCATTGAGATAGAGTTCTAAGGGCAAGAATAAACAACCCTTTTTACTGTAAGAGAAGCTAGATTATAGTTCATATAAAATGTTTAAAATTGGAGTAGAACTGCCTCCCATAAGGGCACTTAGGATGTTAGCTACAAAATGAATTCTAAGGGTCTGTGTTATAAATACACCAAAACTCACTGAATGATACAGTTAATATTTGTACATTTCATTCTACGTAAATGTTACCTAAAGAAAAAATGTTTCAAAAAATTTTTAAATATTGAGCTCTAATAATATGCAGACTAAAATGTTA